CTAATCTATTAATAGTTTGTTACAAAAAGTTTTTTTAATTTGTTAATAATTTGGATTCTAATTATTATCTACTAATTCTAAATTGCTAAATAAAAATTTTTACCGAACATTTAATTTGTAACAATTTTGAGATAAACAAATTTATCAAACATTTAACCTTAACAGTTTGGGCAAAATCGTTAATTGGTACCTCTAAACCACTATACCAAACAAAGCCCTTAGTACCAAAAATAAATTAGGTATGCACAACGTAATATTCTTAGGTACAAAAATCAATTAACTTAATTATATATAATCAATTAAAGTATGAACATACTAATATAGTATGAATACCAATATTCTAACACCCCCAGCATGCTTCCATCTTGGCATGAAAACTAGTGATAGACTCACCATGTTCATATTTCAAATTATGTAATTCTTCCCACAATTGGTACTAACTAGATAAATCAGAAGTAGCATACCTTATTGCAAGCAAATCCCATACCTCCTTAACTGCATCATACCATCCAAGCTGGAGGTGGATGAAAGGAATGGAGGAATTACCTAACCAAGTAATAATCTAATGATTTTTGCTATCCTAGTCCTCCAAGTGTTCCGCAAATTTCTCATCTGCCTCACCAGCAACTTCCTTTGGAGGTTTAATATCACCTAACTTATATCGCCATAATTCTGGTCCCTTCAAGAAACTACGCATTCCTTGAATCCAGAGTAGGTAATTTGATCCACTAAGGATTGTGCAAATTGGTTGTCCTACATCAGAGTTCTCCCCATAATGAGAAATAACTGAAGGGAGTGAACAATACGGCAAACGTGTTATCATTGTCAAGCATTAATTTAATATTCCAATGTTAATATAGAAGCATAATCAGGTTACCGAAAGATCTTCCATGTAATATATATATTTGTCTTGCAAGGCTGAGATTACGGCAAATCGAGCAGACTTGTCACTTGCACAACATGGCCCGTGCTGAAATACAGATCCCAGTCACCGAAGACGAGAATGAGAATTTGATGCGATTGGAGGAAGGTCCATTGACACCAAACCAGCCATTAGATGAAATAGAGATCACCGACGATGAGCTTAAGAAATTGAAGTCATTGAGGGAAGCCGATTCATCAAAGAAGCTATTAAAAATTCAAAAGGTTCCGAATATCTTGTGTTCGTGCTACGGTAAGAAGGATTGCAAACGATATTTCAAACCAACTTCTGTTGCGATCGGTCCCCTCAACCATCAAAGAGAGACTGACAAAGATTCGAGAATGGAAAGAGGGGAGAAGTGCAAACAAAAACTGGCGGCAATGTTCATCAAGGATGGGAAGGAGGTAGATTTCTACAAGAATGTCAAGAAGAAGATAAATAGCTTGAAGAACTGCTATAACTTCAAAGAAATACAGAAATGGAGTGATGAGGAGTTGGCCTGGATGTTCCTAGTGGATGGCTGTGCATTGCTGCAATTCATAGCCCTTGATGTGTCCAATAGGTGGGAGTTCTTCAGTGATAATGATCCAGTCAGCATTGAGAAGGTTGATTTTTTCTTACTTGAGAACCAACTGCCCTACCAACTCCTTCAGATATTGATAGACTCGTTCGCTGAATTCCCAAGGGGAGGATTTGGACGAAAACCTAATCCTAAGCAGTTTTGCAAGGACTTAATCAACGACTTAATCAACGAATTCATCAATAGGAGTTTCTTCAGTCTGAGTCCGCAAGAAAAACACCAAACTGGGATTGATTACTTTCAGCCTCCTCCTCCTCATCTTCTAGACTTGTTGCGAAGAAGACTAACGATTGAGTATTCTCAGCCAGTTTCTTGTCTAGACTCGTTGCGAAGAAGACTAACGACTGATTATAATTTTCAGCCTCTTAGAAGACCGATGGGAGAGACGGGTGAGAAACAAGAAGGGACTAAGAAAGATGGTTTTTGGGAGACATTGACTGATGATAAAAGCTGTTATACATCATCTGTTGAATGTACCAAAAAAAAAGGGGAAAGCTGTTCTGTTCATAACAAAAGCAAACACTGGCCTTCAATTCGCAACGTAAAGGAGCTGAAAGAGAAGGGTATTCGTTTTAAAGCGAGGGAAAAGGGAGGTGCCATCACAGACATCGATTTCAAAGACCGTTATTGCATGGCAACCCTTACGCTGGCTCCCCTTTTTTTGCACAATACCACTGTGCCATTGTTGCTGAATTTGATAGCGTATGAGCTGTGTCCAGATTTCAAAGAAACTTGCAAGATCACCTCGCACTTGTCATTCTTCGACTCCTTGATTGATAATGGGGAGGATGTGAAGGGACTGAGAGATGCAGGCGTGCTGCACCACGGATTAGGAAGCGATGAAGATGTAGCGGAGCTGTTCAACAAGATGAGCGGCATCCTGGTGCCAAATCTTAAGATAGACTCAGAATTGAGAAGTACTATCCATTACTACTGCAGCAACAAATTATACCTCAGCAGTCTATGTGCCAACATCCAGGTTAAACTCACTCACACCTATTTTAGGAGTCCTTGGAGCTACTTGGTCTTCCTCGGTGCCATAGCAGGTCTTATTATGACAGGAATGCAAACTTATAGTAGCTTCCACGAAGACAGGCCCTCCTACTGAAACTTTAATTACTATATATATTAATAGCGTTCTTAGTATGTGTTAGGAGCCAATTGGGTTAATAAAATAATTTTATGTATTTGTTGTTATTACAATTATTATATTTATGACATTTTCTATCCAATATTAATTTCTTCCTTTATGTTAAATATCAAAATAAAGTCAATATTATTTTACCTTCATTGTAGTCCTTACGAACTACACCGACAGCTAATAAGTTGGTCAATATATATTGCGTTGGTACACATTTATATTGATAAGAAACACTTGTTAGTATAGTAATAGAGAACTACACCAACAGCCATTTATGACAAATGTCTCAGACTACCTACTTTACTGACGGATGTGATATATTGATGACAACACATTAGTACTGGATTATTTTGTCAGTGTATATATTGTGGTGTTTAGTGACACAATATCTATTAGTATATTTTTTAGGATATACTGATGATTGTTTTTGCAAATTATTTGATGGGAGTTGTACTGATATAGCATTCTTTAATTCATATCCCAAAATGTACTTGGATTACATGTATACATCCATAAGTAACTTAATGC